TTTATTTTCAGATAATAATCTTGTGTTTTTGTCTTTTAGTTCTTCAATTATTTGTTCATATTTCTTGATCATGTCAATGTAATATATCCTTTGTCTTTCTGATTCTAATTTTTTTTGTGTATCTGACAACTCTCTCATAAGCTGTGTTTCTGGATCTGATAAAGCAATTTGAGTTTCATTGTGTTTTAATTTTTTTCTTTGATTATTTTCTTCATTTTCTTCTAAAGAAATTAAAATATCTTTTTTTTTTAAATTCTTAAGTAAAGATTCTTTGGCAACAACCTGATTATAATGTTTTTCACAAAATGAATAATTGTCTAAGGAATCAAGTAATAAAGACAATTCAGGAAAATACTTAGCCATAATATTTATTCTTTCAACTGCTGCATTTCCAGATGCAAATCTCCACTTTTGATTTTCTTTTGTCTCACATAATGACAAACTTTCTGGATGTTTTGTGGCGAGGGCCTCAAATAAACAAGGTAATTCACTAGCAGCTGGTCTTGATTCTTCCATCTTAAATAATATTGAAGTACATATAAAAAATATATAAAAAGTGCGTGTAAATTTGCAAATTATGCTTAAAAGAACAAAAAAAAATGAAAACTTCTTTGAATTATATCTTCTTATATCTTGTGAATTTTGCAGGGATCCTCAGGGTTTCTCAGGGTTTATATTCAGAAGAATTTGTTTCGACTTTTATTTATGAATTTTATTAAAAAAAATTTTTTGTTTATGGTGCAAGTCACCTAGTCCCGCAACTTGCTGCGCCTCATGGCCAATTTTGGGAAAAAACATCAAAACTCAGAATTGTAAGTTATGCTCAAAAATGCAATAAAATTTTATATCACGTGACCTCTAATGGTGATACAAATTAAAAAATATATTTATATTAATAATATATAAATAATGTTATAACATTGCTAAATTTCCTTCTTCATGTGAAGAAGCCAATGCTCCTGCGGAGAGCATTCTTTGAGAGCTTTACCCTCAAAGAATTTTTGGACACCATACACTTTTTCATATTAAAAAGATTAATTGTCATCTCTCATCTTTCCTTTTTTCTGATATAACTAGTGTATTATTGTTACAT